CATTTTTCTCCTAACCTTAATACAAAATGAAAGGAACGCAATGTGACCTACATTTCTGTGTGAATTTGATGTTTCGAATTGTGTTGTATAAATGAAAGTGGTATATTTTTAACCGAGATCAATTTTTGGATGATTTCCACATTTTTTTAATGCATAATTGTGTTGAAATGTATTTTTATGTTAACCAGCTATAACGCTTTACAAATGACCACCGTCAGAATTTGAAACTTGTGCGAGTTGGGGATTAACGAGGTCTTATATTTCAACGTGCAGCTCCCAGCACGAGTAAGACGATACCCAGTGAATACTGTTAATTCCACTATTGGAATGGAACCTACATTTTCTTGGCGGTTGATTGAATGAGTAGAGCGAGCCACTCACGCTATAAATTATTTCAGAATAGCGTACCCCACAGCTATTTTCAGAGTTTGATTTGTATGTTTTTTGCCTTAAATTTCGTTTATGACTATGGTACACGTTTCAATGAAACGACCTTCTAACGGCAAACCTTGGTTCAACAGAAATTGCGAGCAAGCTGTCCCCTCCAAAAATATCGCCTACCGGCAGTGGCGCAAAAATCCTAGTGCAGAAAACCGAACCAGCTTTATTAATGCTCACAACAGCTGCACACTGAGAATAAATGAAAGCAAAGAATTTTGGATAAACTGTTTGCCATTCCAAACGAGTCTAGATCTTTCTGCTTATATATATTTTGTTTATATCCTATGGTTATGTCCACGTAGTTAAGTTTTGAGTTGTGTTCTTCCTCAATGCTGAAACATAGTTTTTGATTTATTTCGTTAATTTCTTTTGTTATTTGTTCTATTCTAATTCCATTGTTGTGTGATATGTACAGTCCATCGTCAACGTATCTGAACCATTCTCCTTTTTCATCATGTGTTCTTATTATTGTTAAGATTTTCTCATCTATGGTTTGCAGGTATATTTCGTTTGTAATGCTAGATAGTGGGGATCCCATCGCTAGTCCATCTGTTTGTTTATAAATTTTCCCTTCAGATTCGAAATAATTTTGGAATCTGAATCTGAAGGGACAAACATCTTCGAAATAATTTTGGAATCTGAATCTGAAGGGAAAATTTATAAATAAACAGATGGACTAGCGATGGGATCCCCACTATCTAGCATTATATTCGAAATATACCTGTGGAATAGATCCACTCACTTTTGATCTAACCTAACCTAACCTAGGTCGTCTGATGTTGCAGAAATCAACCTGAGAATTGTTACTGGCTCTGTTAGACACTGCAGTTACTATACTATATCTTTGTGTACTGAAGGTAGGAGAATTCGCTTGTGAAAGGTATTGTATAGCGAAAGACGTATTGCGGTTGTTTGCGGTTTTGTAAACGACTGGCTAGTGAAAATCCAACAATGAATTGTACCTCGAATAGGAGAAGTCTGTCAGAAATAGTAGTTTTAGAAAATATTCTGCAGGAAGATATCCTGCACGAGAGAGCCAAAAGTCAAATCAACTCCATTTGAATGATCGGTTTTTCTCAGTTTTCATTTCTTGAATTTTCTGCCATTTTTTCATAAAGAACCGAATAACAAAGCATCGTAAATAAATCAGGCAGAAACTAGAGAAAAATAACTCCTACTGCTGGAACTTCGACGCCCTGTGCCAAATCTCATCCAGGAATTATTAACGGGACTGGATGGGGGATTAATAAAAAGCCATTCGAGAGAACGTTATTACTTTTTGATGCAAATCTTGTCCATTTGTCACTTAAGAGCTCCACTTCCTGAATTCTTTATTGGATTCATTCATATCGAGCTGGATAGAAATTGTCACATCCGAGAAATTTTGACGAATAGTTACGCGTGGAAAATCAGGATTTGGGAGAATAAGTGAATACTACACTAGGAGTGGAAACTTATAACACAAGCACAAAAATGAGGGTCATTGATCGTATTTGAAAATTTTTCAGCATAGTCTGCCTAGATAAGGCAGATGGTCAAGCAGTTAAAACAGTAATTTCTGGATTTTCGCCATGGCAACTGCAGAGGTGTGTGTTGTAGTGATTCAGTTTTACCGCCAACGTGTTGTTAGTGAAGTGTCGGTGGAAGGGCGCGCGGAGTTAAGAGACGAATTGTTTTGGACAGTCAGTCTGGCATGGTCAGCCGACAAGGAGTGTGTTTATTGAATGTGAATTTGACGATAGCGATTGCGAAATTAATGTTGTATCGCAGCTATCTAACACTTGTATATATTTTAATGTATGTTCTGATTGATAAATAAATCAATAGTGGTTACACGTCTATATCAAACTTATCGAACCCAGAGTCTCATCGCAGTGTCGGTGCGTTCCCTTGGCAAAACAGGATTTTCTTCTTATGCAAATGTGGCCGTTTTTCCGCAAGTTCTGCCTTCAACTTGTCAAGTAGTTATCGCTGTATACGCCTGTAATTGTTTTTCCTTCTTGAAAATAATCTTTTAAAATAACTCTATGACTATCCCAAAAAAAAGTCGCCATCACTTTCCCAGCCGATTACATTGTGTTTGCTTTTTTGTAGCCGGTTTCCCCTTTGCATTCCACTGTTTGACTGTATTTTTGTTTCGGGCGTATATGGTGTATCCAAGTTTCATCTACCTACAGTAATCAATCGGCGCCAAAACTTGGATTTACTGCGCCCAAACTGGCTCCAACAGAGCATTGGAAATGTTATTTCGTTATTGGTCTAACGTGAGCAAACGCGGACAGCTTTCTCATGCTTGACTGTTGATTTAATATGTGACAAATACGTTCTTTTGACATGTTCACACCCTCTGCTATCTCTCTCACTTCAGTTCGGTGTTCGTCTAGCACCATTTGGTGAACTTTGGCGATGTTTTCATCGGTAGTTGCAGTTTTTGGACATCCCAAGTGTTTATCGTCTCCCAAGCTCTTACGGCCACGTTCAAATTCAGCTGTCCAAAATTTCACTGTGATATATGATGCTGCAGAGTTCCTTTACACATAATCTAACTCATCTTTGATTTGCATAGGTGTATTGCATTTCAAAAACGAATATTTAATAACAGCTCGAAACATACCAGTGAGGTAAACTATATTCTACATATATGAGTCGCTAGACCAGTATACAGACATCTCAGTTAGGTCTTTAAGTGAAGTATCGAGCCGTATTGAGCCCCATCGAAGACTAACAACTGAACAATTAGAATGCCGGACAGGCACAAGGATTACTCATTTACGTTGGCCAACAAAATTCAGGGATGGAGTTGAATGCTTCATTATACACAGCGCACACTGGTACCAGAGCGAAAAAAATCGATTTTCAACGGCGTTGATTTATATTATCTATAGAATCTAGGAACGGTATGATTTTTTCCCTGTTTCAAGGGTATTCCCATTAATTCAGGCCCATTGTCAGAATAATGAGACATGTGAATAAAAACTAGCACTTTCTAACTAGCATATGCTAGGTCTAGTAAGTATTTGGTCTAATCAGTGTGAATAAAGATTTGTAGAAAATACTAGGACAAGTCTGGTAGAATCCGGAAAAACCCAAGCACTTACTCGCAGGGTAGTACATGCTAGACCAAGTAAATACTAGGTTTTAACGTTCCTGTCACGACACGTTCTCCCCTCCACTACCTTTCAGTCTACTCCACATCGGCGGCCACTCTCTCACTCTGTTCAACCACGTGCTAGAAGATGTATTCATCATCAGAAGAATCTGACAATGATTTTAATAAAATAGAAAAAATTTATCGCACTCTGTTTGTACGTCTCCTTTCGGATCACATTGTCTTACTTAGCAAATCAAAAACCCCTGCTGTGATGAATGCTAAGAAATAAGCTTGGGAAACCTTACGTTATGACTACTGTGGTGCATTGGGGAAACAAGTTACTATAGGCCAACTGATAGAAGTATTGAACAATGTGAAGTCTACCGTCAAGAAGAAGACTGACGTAAAAGTGACGGGAAACAGGAAAATAAAACTACAACCGTGGGAAAATATTCTTGGAGTTGATAGAAGATGATAACCCAGTATTCTATAAAATCTCGGGTAATATTTCAGTTGGTACAAGTGCCGGGCCCCCAGTTCAGCAACCAATCAGTGATAACATCCAAGAAAGTTTGCCGAATACAGAAACTGAAGGGAAACCGAATAAAAATGAAGAATCGAAGAGCCAAGAAACAAAGAAGCCGATGAAAACTAAATCTGATACCGACCACAACAAAAATGAAATCAGAAAAAGTGAAAAAACTGTGTCGAATCATGAAGCAGATGAAACTAAAGACCTGTCCATACCGCAGTTGCAAAGGATTGTTTTGTTGCAACAATACAAACTGAATAAGATCAAACTGGATAAGGAAACTATATTGTTGGAAACCATGAAGAAGCAAACCGTTGAAAAGTACTCAAACTGAAGTAACTGTTGATGATTGCCATACTATATTCACATTGTAATCAATTGTAAGCTACATAAGTTGTATTTTCCTTTGGATTGTAATAATGTAGGATTCTTAGGATTATAATTCTTACCATTGTAATCAAACTTGTAATTTGAAATAATTCAGTAATGGTGTTAATAAAAACTAGTATATAAAATAAGATGATTTCACTTAGTAAATGATCAAAACCCATATCCCAAAAAAAATTTTTTTTAAAATATACAAAATTGTGTGCAAGTAGGTGTTTGCGTGAGAAAAACATGAAAACGTTACTAACTAAGTTCAATTTCACACAATTTCCTCACTGAGTATTCAAATACGCCATCATATTGGCACGCTTGTCTTTGCCTCTTAATGTTGTGTCGGGATTTTCATAACGAACCACCCCAGGTTGGTCATCTTCATTTGGGACGCTATCAAGATCCCCATACTCAAAGTCATCCTTTAGCTGCTTGGCAATGTTGTGTAGCACAGTGCAACTGACTACCAGTTGTGGACTGTTGTTCAATGCAACTCTGACACAGTTTCCCAGGATTGGGAATCTCCTTTTCAACTGGCCAAAACACCTTTCTATTTCTTTAGTATGGATTAGATTGAACTCTCGTTCTTGATGCGTTCGTGGTGTAATCAACGGTGGCGTTGAACGGTGTAATCAACCACGGCGATAAACCGTATCCTGAATCTCCTAAAAGACGAATTGCTCCATCATACTGTGACACGATGTCTGACATGACTATTCCTCCACACTCTGCCGTCGTGAAACTGCCGGGCCACTCCGCACTAATACTTGTAAACTGTTTCAATGCATTGCATGTTGCCTGGACATTTATACAAATATCCTCATCACCGTGCAGCCCAGGCTCTTGTATCTCAATTTGAGTACAATCAAGGAAACCAATTACAGACGGCAAACGAAAATGTCTCTGCCACAAAACTTTAGCCTCGGTCATATCTTCAGCTGTAGTTGGAAACCGTATCCAATTATTTGATTGTTCGACTACTCTACTCATCACGTACCTTATAGTCTTGTAAGCAGTAGTACGATGTACACCCACATCTTGAGCTACACCAGACTGAAAGCCGGAATCACCCAAAAACCTCACAAATATTTCCATTTGTTGTCTTCTGGAAATACCACCGCCACGAGTACCACTTTCTTCAAGAAACTGTGCCGCAAGGAAATCAACACTCTCACTGTTGAACCTTAACAGTTCTTTACAATTACGTTCGTTTATTCCAGAGCGAACAGAATGAATTTTACGTTGACGAATAGGCATAAACTCAGCCATGATCAACAACAAACTGTGGACTGAGTAGATAGGTAGTAAATGCTAGGAAAAAGTCTAGCATGCCCCAGACCAGGTATGAAAATATCGAAGCATATGCTACAGAACAATCTACTTCAAAAGTTTTATTCACACCATTTTTTAAACATTTACTACTCGTCCGGAAAAACTCTATAACTTACTACCCCTAGCAAGTGCTAGTGTGTTTATTCACACAAAACGTAGCGTTTACTTAAGAAATCCCTAGTATTTGCTTATACTAGTTTTTATTCACATCACTGAATGGAATTTTAACCAAATTACACACTACTTTAAATGAGTGATATATTATTGAGAAAGAGGAAGAAAACATTATCAAATTACGAATACTAAATAAGCATTGAGAACAGCTATGATTACAAAAAAAGCTGTAGCTTCTTCCGAGCTGTGGAAGGTAACTTTCCAAACTAGTTAAAGTGAAGCTTAGAACAATAATCATCTGCCTTAATCTGCCTATCCGACCATAACACCGCAACGAATGAAAATAATCAGATTATACCATTGTTGCACTATCAACTTTGTCTAGTCATGAGTTCTATCAAAATTGAATACCGTAATTTGTGTGAGTGCAAAATCACCCTGAACTTGACGACGAAAACATTTCTCCAATACTGATAACTCTAAGCAAGAGCTTTATGCCAGATATTGATAAAAAAGGATAAAGTAAATCTGGACCAAGCGAGGTGTCAAAAAATCACCAGACCAGGAAACCACAGGATATGTTGGGAGACCAACTAAGACTTTGATGATTGTGGTGACGGGAGCAAGAGAAATAAACTACGCATATCAACAAAGCATGATCAACGCAGCGGCGACACAAGAAGACCACGATAAATACGAAATTTTGTGAGCCGATCAGGCAGCAGCTATATTTTTCTAGCCCAACCTGACAAAATATCAGCACGAGACGATTCGTCAAGCGTTAAAAGACCTTGGGTACGGTGTATTTCCAAGTTATAAAAAATTAATCCTTTCAAAGAAGCAGTGCTACCCTGAAAATTTCTCACTCAATGAAACATTCGCAATGGTCCAACAGCAGAATTTGCTTGACCACACTGCCAAATGAATTCTGAAAAGAAAATCTCTAGAAGAACTAAAAAAATTAAATAATCATGAAATTATATTTTTTATAAACTTATATTATTTACAAAATCATCTAGTCTTCTGAGCGTTTTCTTGATTTTTCAATTGTTAGCATTATTTAATTGGAATTTATATTCAAAATACGTGTTGCAACTTGTTTTGATGACTAAAAGCTATTCCGAAAATCTCAAAAATCATTATGTTGCCAATAAGCTTCCATTTCATCATTAGTTCTTCAATTTTTTTGGAAATTTCAATAAAAATAGTTGGACTTTGATTCGTTCTCGAGATATTGAATTTTTTCCCCTTTTTTGCCATTGGGCTGGTCGCTGGAATGTAATACACCGACGCATCTGACAAGTTTTGACTTTCATTTTCTTTTCAAATGAATTACTTGCGAGGATAAGAAAACGCTCATTCGAATGTATTGAAGGAAATTATATTCCTTTCATCTATTTTTCAATAAGTATTTCCACTTCTTTCGCCTATTTTTTCTGAGGAATTCCTTCAATTTTATTCATTCCGCCAATATTTCCATTTTCAGTAACAGAACAATATCAAAGCTACTGAACATTTTTCCAGAACTTGCAATCTATTATTTCTTTTCGCAACATTCTTGCAGTTATTTCAATTCTCTAGTTGAAGAAAGTGGCGTAAATGTTCATGTCTCACGAAGTGGAAGAAACCATTTGGGAATAGTTGTAGCGTTACTTTATTATTTTTGTCCGATATTTAACGAAGTTTTGACCCTTCTGTCAATTCTGTATAAGTATATCCTTCGAGAAATGTAGAATTGAGTTATTTGAGATTGCTTTTATCAAATTACAGACAAAGAAAATATCGAGGAAACTGAGGAATAAAAGTATCTCACAATAAGCTATAACGGGAATACGACTTCGACAAATATTTGTTGTTTGTTCTGTTTTCAGAATATTTCATTGTACACAATGGACTGGGCAGCCAATCTCAATAACATTTCATCTTCCCCTCAATTTCTTTGAATGTAATTGCAGTGAGTTGATTAGTTTCATTCGTGAACTAGAATTATACATATACTAAGTGACAAAGAAAAGTAAACACCCATTTATATTGAAAATATTTTAATAATGTTTTACGTACATACTTGACAGATAATAGCAAAGAAACGAGTGAGTTTTCAGAGAAATCGAATGGTCGTGAAACCAGTGAAGTTCAGTAGTGTGTTGCAGATCTTCGATGTCTTATACACTTCTGCATATGTCTGGGCATTGTCCTGATAAGGTGGTCTATATCTTGTTGGGGTATCTTATTCCCCCCTACTTCTAAGTCATGTCTGAAGTGCTGCCGAAGACTGTGGGAGCTGTTGTAGATTCAGCAGTTTGCGATCAAGAACATCCCACACATGTTCGATCGGTGAAGGATCGGGCGATCTGGGTGGCCATGGTAAGCGGTTAAAGTCATGCTCATCCATGAAGTCTAGAGTTACTACAGCCACATTCCACAGCGCTGTCTTGTTGGAATATGGGATTCTCGATGGTCTCAAGATATGGAAGGTCATGAGGCTCCACTACTTCGTGAATGAAACGAAGAGCTGTCATGTTGCCTCTAATAAAGACTGAAGTTATTCTGCTACCATATACAATGACACCCTTACCATTAAACTAACAGTATGATTAACATGCCTTTCCACATTGAACTGGGGATCTCGTCTTTCACCCCGTATATGTATATGTGACTGACATGAACATGTCAAATTCCTATTTCGTTATCGATGTTGTTATTTATTGGTCGCGGTCACTAAAATAATAATGGTTGAAAATAGATATCAAAAGGGTGTGTGAAGGAATAAATCACGCCTTCCATGTTCTTTGTTTCTCCTCTGGAAAAAGCAGAAATTAACAAAATTATAAATACAGTGTTACTTTTAAAAAGTGTACTGACTGAAAATGAAGTCCTTTCAAGCTTGAAGTTACGATATAATGTTAGATAAAAGAAATTGTTTTGTTGAACTACGCGAACCGCAATAAAACCTCTCCAATTTGAAATAAGTGTACGGGTGCAGTCCTAGCCAACTTTGTCAACTCAATTAAAAGTTTGAACATTCGAAATTAATGCATTCACTATTCACTGGAGTTGGTTGAGAAGATACTTTATTGTAAGTGACAGGGTTTTTCACCATTTCACAGCCTGGCAGTTTGTGAAAATATTCGTTAGGCGAATTGTGTAATGAATATTATATAAAATTAACTGATAGTTATTTGAAGTTCCACTTAATAATTGAAAGATATATTCATATTCACGAATGCCCTTTGCTCATATTGAGGTTTCATTAGAAGTGAAGGTGAAGGTGAAGGTGAAGTAATGAAGTTGTCGAAATATAGAAGATTGAAAATATGATTTATTAAGTACTAGAATTCCAACTGATTTGAATAAGTTGATGACGCCATATATCATCAACTTCCTTATGTCAGCTACAATCAACGATTATGGACATACAGGATTGCTTACTTTTGCGATTTTGTTGGATACGTCACGTGATCTCGTGACGTAACAGTGTTGACTCTGGATTGATTCGGTACTGCACTTTTATCTCTCATTAAAATATTACTTTTATATAGGATTAAATACTTAATATAAATGGATTAATACTAAGTAAAAATTTTTCTTTTGTGGATGATAGGGCGAACTATTTTGTGAGAGGTTTCATCAGTTTTTTATTATTTTCGTGAAAAGTGTAACTTCCACAAAAATTTTGAAATGAACTTTATTTTAGATAATAGTATTATTTAAAAAAATGTTTTATAATTTTTTGTTCCATCTTTTATAGTAAACGCTTAATAATCAAAATATATATAAGTAATAAATTGTTTATAGGTGTTTTTATTAATCTGACAGAAAATACATGATACGGTTTTTATTTATTTATTAAGAAAATGAGAAATTTAGATAGAATAATTCAACTTAAACTTTGTTTCATAAATGATGAAATTGATAAATCTACAATTTAATATATTATAATACTATATTAGAGCAAAAAGGAACTACTTTATCCACAAAGTATATTTGAATTAATTTTTTTTTGCATGAATGTAGAAAAATAAATTTAGGACTTAATGTATTACTTTATTTAATTTTCGATTTTTTTTCTATCATTAGAATTGTTTAATTTTTTTCTTTTAAGTGACCTATTTTCGTCGGCCTTTAAGTTATTATAGTTCATTCTGATAATTGTTTTAATTCTAATAATCTTCCCTTTTTGAATTTTTTTTTGAAAGAGTTTTCACAACTCCTTGCCCTTTTCTAAATTCATTTAAATGATGTTTTTCGAAAAGTTTGTTCCACTTTTTAATTCTTTCTAACCAATTATCTGTGGGTTTAATAGAAGAAGAAGGTATATTATAATTATGATCTTCTGCTTTTACTTTATAAGTATAATCGCCCAAACCAGGTAGATAATTTTTATGCTTTTTAGGAAAGTATCCAGCAATATATTTTGAAGAGTCCTCTGTTGAAGGAATGTTAGTAGAAATATCAGAACTACTAGATGGAAATAAGCTACTGCAATTTGATCCTATTGTCTGCTCTAAAATCGTGTCTGCTTTAATTTCAATTTCCACCATTTTCATGACTTTTTGAGTAATATATTCTTCTATTGTCGGTTCTTCAGTATTTACGGCAGCCTGGAGGATGGTAGAATTTTTTCACAGAATGATCATTCTGATTCGGTAAATTGCTTCCAATGGACTACGATGTTCATTTGGACCACGGCTTCTAATTTGAGAAAATCCATTTTTGAGAGCGAATTTATCTCCTCTTTTGCTGCAAAGTTGTGGAAACCACATCCTTAGCAATAGGAAAAGAGTAAAATATCACATCAGTAACACCACTTTTCTTTAAAGTCA